CCGCCCGGGCGAGGATGCCGTGTGGGTGCTGGACAGCGGCGGCGTGCGCGGGAGCACGACCAACAGCTCGGCCGCGTGGCTGGTGCAGTTCTACTCGTCGTGGTGCGGCCACTGCATCGGCTACGCGCCCACCTGGCGGGCCCTGGCCAGGGATGTGCGAGGTGAGGCGCGGGGCTCGGGCGCGGCCGCCACCCCGACACTCGCGCGGCGGGAGGGCATTGGACGACCCTTCTTTAGGGCCCGTGTCTTTCCTCGGCTGCTGCCCCACGGCGCCTCCTCGCCCGGCGCACCCCACTTGGGCCTGCCTGTCCTCTGCAGGGGAGCCTGCCGCCCGCCCTCTGCGTCCCCCGGGGTCCCGGGAAGCCGGCCTGTCTCTTGCACCCCCGCCCTCGCTCCACGGCTGCCTACGTGTGCCCGCTCCCTTCGTGAACCTCAGCTCCTAATCCCGGCAGGTCCCCCTTTGGAGATGGGGACCCCGTTACCCCAGCTCTCGGGCCTTCATTGGCTCGTCCACGCCACCACCTTTTCCGCAGGAATTCTACTTCCTGCGGAAACCCCGTTCTCTCCACCCTGCGTGGTTTGGTTCCCCGCCCATTAGGTGGGTGCTCAAAGGGAGCCCCCATCTTGGATGCCAGATACTCCCAAAACTGCAGGAGAAAAGGCGCCTCTTCAACGCCTTGCATCGGGCGCTGTGCTGAGACCCGCGGCTCTGGGTCCGCGTCAGACGCCGGGCCGCTGGTAACTTTCCTGTCGTCTCTTGCTGTCTGCCACCTTAGTGATGGTGCAGGCTGTTGAAACAGGCCCTGAGCTACTCCCTGCTTCCGGTGGCAGAGTCAGGGCGGTGGGGTATCGGCCTGTAGGTTCCGGGCTCCGCTCACGTGTCAGGTGTGCCGGTCATTGCACGTTTCCCTGGACGGGGACTTCAGACTGCTGCTGTCTTCTTGTACCTTTCTGTTTTTTCAGGAAAAAAGTCTTATATCTAACCTGCTTGTATTTGTCTCACATCTAAACAAATTAAAGTCTTTTCCCCAGGTTTAAGTAGGGCTTTTATACTTCATTTAAGTGATTGTCTTTAAAATCCATTCCCATCTTAGCACCCTTGTCTTTTGAATCTGCTGCCTCTGTTGTCTTTCATCTGATGTTTTTCAGAAGCCATTCGTGTTTTCCGGGGAGCTCTGATGGCATTTTCAACTACTAACCAAAAGACTGATGGTTCAAACACACTCTTGGGAGAAAGACAAGGGGGTCTGCTCCGTAAAGAGGGGCAGCCTTGGAAACCCTATGGGGCAGTTCTGTTCTGGGTCATAGAGTCACTGAGTTAGCCGTGGGTTGGGTGTGGTTTTCGTGTCCTGGTACTCAGACCTGACATCAGAGACAGAACCTGACGGGACACTTCTCTGTGGACTTCGGGTTTTTGGGGGCCTTTCGGTAGCCTTTGCTTTTAGATAAACAATTCAGGACAGAGAATGGTCCTCTTCCGGAAGTTTTATACTCAGTGACAGAAACAGGTATGTGAATAAAAGTAGAAGTAGCCTTGGCAAGGCTTTTGCCACCTGTTTTTGCACGTTGTTTTTAAGTAAACTCCGGCCAGTTTTATTTAAAAAAATCGCATGACTTTTCTTCCACTGGTTCTTCCGGCACCGTCTGCTGTCCACGCTGGTGCTGTCCACGCTGTGCCCGGTTCTGTATTCCAGCCACTGCAGCGATGGATGCCAGTTTTGGCCGACAGTGTCGTGCTTTCGTTCGGATTTCCTCAGACCTGGCGGTTGGTGACGGGAGGGCAGGTCTGTCCTCTTGCCTGATCAGCCGCAGAGTCTGCTTGGACCCGAGCACGGATTTCTCACTTCTCGTAGTGAGTCAGAGGCTTGACCAACTCCAGTGACTTTGTTGTCTTTGCACTCACCATTTTCTTGCCTTAGGTTTGAGACAGCCCCAACCAAGAGCAGCCGCCAGGATGGCTGGGGAGGGAGGAAGCTGCGAGTTATTGTGAAATTTTCCATTTCAGACCTGAAATACAAGAACTGCAAACCTGCCGTGATCGAAACACCACGTAGGGAGCCTTGAAAACTGTCCCTAGAACTTTGCAGGAAGATTCCTTTTAAAAGTGAAAGTAGCCTAGGTAGTGTAGTAAGACAAGAGAAGGAAAGAAAAGGTCTCCACATTGGAGAAAAAGAAGAAAAGTTAGGTCTGTTCCTGGGTGGTGTGACCTTACATGTAGGAGATCCAAGGAGGCCATAAGGAAAGTTCCAGAGCTGATAGCGGAATTGAGCAAAACCGCAGGGTACAGGTCAACAAACAAAAATCAGTCGGGTTTTTATACACCAGCAGTGAGGAGACTGAAAAGGGAATTAGGGCAACAGCTTCATTTACAGTAGCATCTAAGAGAGTGCAATACCTAGGATTAATTTTATCAGCTAGAAGGACGTAAAGGGCTTGTTCAGTGAAAATTGTAAACTGCTGAAAGAGATTGGAGACTTAAATAATGGGAAGATGTCTCATGTTGGTGCACTGAGAGACTTAACAGTGAAACAGTAGGAGCCTACCTGCCAGGTGTGATTATCTGTACTAATCAGGCACCTCTGAAAGGGCTAGATGTCCAAGTTGAGGCCAGAAGAGCCAGGCCAGAGTGAGATGGGGCTGAGTGTGAAGGGCAGATGTGTCCTGACGGGCCAGGGTTGAGGGAGCCTGGCCTGGGCTGGTGCTGTCTGCTGTGGACGGAGGATGGAGACCAGGGCTGCCACCCCCAGGCATACACTAGTTCCTCTGTCTGTGGTCAGTGTTCCCATTGTCGCCACTGGGGTCCATGACCAATCCCTTGTGAGTTGGGTTATCCCACCAGTCCCCTTGGCGTATGTACACTTTAGACTGGCCCCTTTGAAATTGAGAGTGGCCGCCAGCCTCCCTGCCCTCTGCGCCCTAGCATCTGCCCCAGGGAGTGTGGTGCACACGGGTCCTTTGGGCCCTGCTCTCCCACTGAAGGCAGTGCAGGCTGAAAGGGCTCTCTGGGCCCGGCTTCTGCATTCACATGGGGCTCCCCACCCTGCGCCCTTCACCCTGTGGCCTGCTTGTCACATTATTCAGGGGCACCTCCCTCAAAGCTTTGATGACCTTTCCAGAGTGCCTCTCTGCCTTGATTTTCTCCAGGTTTTGAACTGAATGTGTTCCTTATGAGAGAGTGGCTTGAACAAAAGGTCTTTCTCTGTTGGATGCAGCCAGGTGTCACCCTTGTGTTTATGTAGATGAGACTGTCACTTCCAGGGACTTGTCAAAACAGAACCTGACACCCCTGTGGCCTGGAGCTGTGGCGTTAGCCCCACTGCTGCCGCCACCTTCACAGGTGACAGTGCAGCACCCATACCCGAGGCGGCCCCCCACACACAAGCAGGTCTGTGCCCGAGGTGGCCCCCCACACGAGCAGGTCCGTGCCCGAGGCGGCCCCCCACGCGAGCAGGTCCGTGCCCGAGGCGGCCCTCCATGCGAGCAGGTCTCTGAAGTAGCTCGGGGGCTGAATGAAGGGGTGTGGTCTGAGGATGACCGACAGGTGCTGCCCGGGTCACTGTGCCTCTGGTATCTGCCCCACCTCCGTCTCAGGAGAGCAGAGTGCTGGGGGAGGAGCGGTGGGGCAGGGCTGGAGTTTGGAGGGAACTCCAAGAAAGGGGTGTGAGGCCTGGCTGTGCCCGTGCGGGGAGTACAGGGCTTTTGCTGGAGTGACCCTATCTGTCCTCACAGCCCAGGCCTGGGAGGCTCCACGCCGTGGCTCAGGTACTGGTCGGTGTGGGGCAGGGTCCGTGGGCGCTGACGGCGTGCTCTGGTTCCATCTTGCTGCCACGATGTGGCCGTGGTCTTGTCTCTGCCTCGCCATTGACCACTGCTGTTTGCCCGGGTCTGCTTGTCTGTCTGTGGCTGAGCAGTGGGCTTCTTGCAGACGAATGCTACCAGTTGACTTTCCCAGCAGGTCAGTTACTGCTTATGGGAGGGAGGGGCCCCTCCGGGAGGAGGGGATGTGTGACTGCAGGTGCCAGCCTGAGCCACCAGCCGGCCTCGGCAGCAGGAGCAGGCAGGGCGGAGACCTGGGGGCCACCGGACTCGGGAAGAGGACATGGAGTCAGCAGGTGGCCGTGTCCTTTCCTGACGGCCGAGGATGCCCTGCTTCTCAAGTTGATGGTTATTTCAGTTCCCTGGGGCCAGGTGCCAGCAGGTTTGTGGGCAGTGATGCATGGTGTGTGCTGGGCAGGTGTGTGTGACATTTCCAGACTCTGAGGGGGGCTTTGCAGACGTGCCCAGAGAAAGGCTATGACTGGTTGAGCCTGGGCCGTCAGTGATGGGAATGGCCGCCACGCTTATGCAACCTCGCCCCAGATGCCGTCGGTGACGGGGACAGCCACCACGCTTACGCAGCCTTGCCCCAGATGCTGTCGGTGACAGGAACGGCCACCACGTTTATGCAGCCTTGCCCCAGATGCCGTCAGTGACAGGAACGGCCACCACGCTTATGCAGCCTTGCCCCAGATGCCGTCGGTGATAGGAACGGCCACCACGCTTACGCAGCCTCGCCCCAGATGCCATCGGTGACGGGGACGGCCACCACGCTTACGCAGCCTTGCCCCAGATGCCATCGGTGACGGGGACGGCCACCACGCTTACGCAGCCTTGCCCCAGATGCTGTCGGTGATAGGAACGGCCACCACGTTTACGCAGCCTTGCCCCAGATGCCGTCGGTGACGGGGACGGCCACCACGCTTATGCGGTCTCATCTTGGCATCTTCTCCAAGTTGTGCTGTTTCGTCATTTAATCAACGAGAGTTTGTTCACCTTTCTGGGGCTGTTTCAGTGCCAGGAACAATGTGTAGTGCTGGTCCCTGCCCTGACATCTGTGTGAGGCTGGACACGTGTGTGGTGACGTATAGGCAGTGTGAGCACCAGGTGTGACCCATCAGTATATGAGCTAACACCTGGACAGTCCTGTGTGCCCCCAGCTGGCCGCTTGAACTTGGACCGTACCTGGAAAGACTTTGGCTCAGTCGAGAAGGGCCAAGAGTGGACTCCAGAGTGTGGGCTGGAACCCCGGGGCGGCACCCTGACGTCACCAGAAAGGCAGCTGGAGCTTTAGCGACACATCCAGTCATGTTCTTTGAAATGAGGTTAATTGGTCTTTACTGTA